CTTGTTGCAATTAGGAGCTTGTGGCAACTTTTTTTTTAACCACTTCTGAGTAGTCCTGACTTCTTTGCCTCCCAAAGATGTATCTTGGGTTAGAGAATTCAAACACAAAGAGAATGGAAGACTTGCAGCATGTCATAGCAATACACAGATCACTGACTTGGGAGGGTTTCAAACCTCAGACCTGGTAGTTCTGGCTGTAAAAGTAATTAGCTGCGCAACTCTGGGCACAAACTCTGTGGATTGATGGTGGATTCATCTGTGATGGATGAAATGGTTTAACTCAACAGTTCATCCTCTTTTGGTGAAAACTAGCCAATTGTCATTTCCCTAAAGTCTTATAATTATAGTAGTTACAATCACTGAAGAAGTTAAGAACTAGAGCATGGGAAAAAGAAGACATTGCTGGCAGTAGGTCCCTCCTTAATGATAATTCTAGCAAGTCACTGAGAGAGGAGGAACATGGTAGCACTGGCCAGCTGAGAGATCCACCATGTAAAACTTAAAATCAACACAATGATTTTAAAAACAACACATTCCATCACTCAGCTCTGGGCATTTTTTCTGGCTTTACCCCATACATGGAATATTCTCCCTCCTCTTCCTAACTATTGACCTCCCTGACTTCCTTTAAGTCCTAATTAAAATTCCATCTTTTACTGAAAGCCTTCATCATACCCCTCTTAATTCCCACATTTTCCCTGTTAATTATTTCCTATTTATCCTGTATATATATTGTTTTGTACTTATTTGTTCACATGTTGTCTCCCCTATTAGACTGTAAGATGTTCGAGGGCAGGGGCTATCTTTTGCCTCTTTTTGTATCTCCAGCACTTAGCACAGTCCCTGGCACATAACAGGTGTTTAATAAATATTTACTGAACACCAATGTGTACTGGACTAGATGATCACTAGTGTTTTTTTCAGCTACAAATTCCATGATCCTACTTAGGTGAGATAGTACAAACCATTATCAGTACAAGTTTATCTGTTCAATTATTTTTTAGTTGTGTCCAAATCTTCCGCGAACCCATTTGGGGTTTTCTTGGCAGAGATACTGGAGTGGTTTGCCATTTCCTCCTCCACCTCATGTTACTAAGATGAGAAAACTAAGGCAAATAGGGTTAATTGACTTGCCCAGAGTCACAAAGCTAGTAAGCATCTAAGGCTGGATTTGAAACAACTGGTTAGAAGCAGATTACAGGAGTCTTTTTGCCAGCACTGAGGCAGGACTCTGTTGCTTTAACCATACGTGGATCCAGGTCACGGTCCTGGATGGCAATCTCAGAGTAAGGATGCGCACTAACAAATCAAAGCTCTCAGCTGCAGTAGTGTGGGGACTCTTGTCACAGCGCCAGAGTAGAAAAGAGTGCCTGTGGTCGCTCACAGACTATAGCATAGGTCAGAAGAGTAGTAAACACATCTCTCCTTAGATCATACTACTTAGAAGAACTGAAAACTTACAGGTCCCTAGAAGTATCTCTGAGAACAGCTGAACAAAACCCTGAAACTTTGGACAGTGCACCTTCCACCCTGGAAGCAAAGCCCCACTGTAGCAAAGAATTAAAAGTCAAGAAATAGGCTGGAAAAATGGGCAAACAGACAAAAATCCTGACCATAAGAAGGTACTATGGTGACAAGGAAGATCAAAACACACTTAGAAGAAGATAACAAAGTCAAAACCCATACGTCCAAAGCCTCAAAGAAAAATATGAATTGGTCTCAGGTCATGGAAGAGCTAAAAAAAAATTTGAAAATCAAGTATGAGAGGTAGAGAAAAAATTGGGAAGAGAAATGAGAATGATAACAAGAAAATCATGAAAAAAGAGTCAACAACTTGGTAAAGAGGACACCAAAAAATTCTGAAGAAAATAATACCTTAAAAAACAGAGTAGGCCAAACGGTAAAAGACATACAAAAAGTCAATGAGGAGAAGACTTTGAAAAGCAGAACTGGCCAAATGGTAAAAGAGGCATAAAAATTCACTGAAGGAAAAAACTCCTTAGAAACAGAACTGTCAAATGGAAAAGGAGACACAAAAGCTCACTGAAGAAAATAACTCCTCAAAACTTAGAATTAAGCAAATGGAAGTTAATAACTTTATGAGAAATCAAGAAACAATAAAACAAAACCAAAAGAATGAAAAAAACAGAAATGTGAAATATCTCATTGGAAAAACAACTCACCTGGAAAACAGAGCCAGGAGATCTCATTTAAAAATTATTGGACTACCTGAGAGTCATGATCAAAAAAAGAGCCTAGACATCCTCTTTAAAGAAATTATGAAGGAAAACTGCCCTGATATTCTAGAACCAGAGGGTAAAACAGAAATTGAAAGAATCCACTGATCACCTCCTGAAAACTCCCAGGAATATTATTGCCAAATTCCAGATCTCCCAGGTCAAGGAGAAAACATTGGCACCAGCCAGAAACAATTCAAGTATAGTGAAGGCATAGTCAGGATAATGTAAGATTTAGCAGCTTCTACATTAAAGGACTGGAGGGCTTGGAATATGATATTCCAGAAGACAAAGGAACTAGGATTACAGGCAAGAGTCATCTACTCAGCAAAACTTCAGGGGAAAAAATAGACATTAAATGAAAAAGAAGACTTTCAAGCATTCTTAATGTAAAGACCAGAGCTGAATAGTAAATTTGGCTTTTAAATACAAGACTCAGGACAAGCATAAAAAGGTAAACAGGAAAGGGAAATCATAAGGGAATAAAAAGCTGTGGTCCTTACAGAATTAAAAAAAAAAAGAATCCTATGACTAACAATAGAAAAAATTTAAGGTTCCATTTAGTACAAAAAGGCTTAACAAATACTTTCAAGGGAACTATCAGTCTTAAAAATGAGGAAGTATAAAAAGAAAATTCTGATTCATCTGTGTGGCAGGATATACTAGCTATGGAAGCTCAGAAATAAGATTGCTGAGATTTTTGTCAGAAAAAGGCAAACTCATTGGTGAATAAAGGCAAATGGGACAACTATGTTAAACTGTCACATGACGTTAAATTAACTGTCATGTAAGAAATCAAAGACAAAAAACAAGGGTCCAATATATAACATAATATTTATAAAAGCACTTTTGTCACAGCGAAGAGCTGGAAACAAAGTAGATACCCATCAATTCTGCAATGCCTTGAAAAAACTATGGTATACAAATATAATGATTATACATGATAATATAAAAATTTGGAGAAACATAGGAAGATTTTTATGAACTGATGCAGGGCAAAATAAGAAAAACAACATACATAATGATTGTATAACAAGGTAAATGAAAAGATCAATGAAAGAAATCCTAGAGAACAAATAATGAAACATACTTTGAGGGACAGAAGTGGGGAGGTGAGGGAAACACTACCATTGGGGCTAAATGTGCTATATGTCACTGAATGCAACTATTACCCCAAATGTTTTTTGTTTTTTAATTATAAAGAAGGATTCATTTTGGAAAGGGAGGATGAAGTAACGTCTCCAGAAAAGACTGATGTAAATACAAAACTTCAATAAAACTGTTTTTAGGTTAATGTCAACATGTACCATATTATCTTCCATTTGAGGAAAGTGATATTTAGATTCTTGAAGTTCAATAAAACTTCATCTATTTATTTAGCAAATAGAAAGAACAAGACAATTAGAAATACTGAACTGCAAGTTTCATTTTAAAATAAAAGCAGATGTTTCCTAGGTAAAAATTTTACATTAGTCAGAAACATTAAAATAGGAGAATGAAGTCCAAGAGTGGCTGAAGCCATCTTCTTAAAGACTTCCATTAATATGACAACTTAATGCTAACTTATTTATGTAAATTTTAGTTCATCTAAAGCCAAAATTTTCTTATACCTCATTTTAATCAACTAATTTGTTATGTTTTAACAGCTAGATTAGTTTATGCAATTAATTTTTAAAGATACTTACCTTGTAAATTCTTTAATCCTAAACTATAGAGAGTGAAGCACAGTTCTCAATTAGCATCTTTCAAATCATCTGAATTATTTATCCCCAACAAATACTAGTCAGGAAATTATAAGTGTGTGTTTCTACTTCAATTGATTCTTTCATTCAGTGAAGTGCAAATCTCGAAATTAGAATGTGTGTGTATATTACCTAAATGAGCAGATTTTCCTTAATACATTAAGGAAATATATTAATACTTAATAGTTCTAGTTCCTGGATTGTGGGATGTGTAATACTCTTGCCCTAGGCCCCTAACCATCATGGTGGCCAAGAGCTAAAGGGTCCCGGGCCTTTTCACTCCATTCCTTCAATCCTCAATTCAAACCCCAATCAGCAGCATCTATTGGTGAGCCTTCCTTTCTCTCTCTCTCTCTCTTTTTTTAAACAAAAGCCGTGAAATTACTTCCTTCGATTTGCTGGTCTGAGGTGGTGTGAACACCCCAAGGCCTTTCCAGGCCTGTACACCAATACCCCAACTTCAAGGGAAGGGCCTGGAGCAGCCAGTTTGACAACTACTGGGAAACAGGTCTCCAGGACAAGAAAGCGGGGGTGGCTTCAAATTAAATACCGCTCTTTTCCTACCGCACCCCAGTTCCTAGAAGCTGTCGATTTGAAAGACATTTCTCCCCTTCCCCCACCCCCGGAGAAGTACTGCTTCCAAACCTAAAAGTCATCTCTGAGATAAGGGCAGGAGGCTCCAGGAGTGGGGTGGGGTGAGCCGGAGCCCCTCCCCTTCCAACGCGGGGGGTCTCGCCCCGACGCAGACTCTAAGACATTCCCCCTCTCTCCTACCCCCACGCCAAACGTGCCCTTTCGGGGACACCCCCACTCCCACGGGGCCTGATGTCAACAATCAGGGTCCGGAGAGAAAGGACGGAGCGACGGATGGACCCCCCGCCGCCTTCGCTCCCGCAGCGCCACGCCCCATTGCGGACTAGGGGCCCCGTGGGATGGGGGGGGCAGGGGAGACATGAAAAGGGGAGCGTCAGCCTGGGCCAAGAGCTAGGGCAGGGAGGGCAGAGGACGGAAAAGGCCTCACCTTGACCCTTATCTCATAGGTGGTGAAGCGGCCTCGGCCGACCCCCACTGTCTGCGGGTTGCTCACGTCGATCTCGAGGAAGTTGCTGGGCGGACCGTAGGCGTCATTCAGGTTCTGCGGTTTGGTGATCAACCGCCGGGTATCCGCTACGGTCTCCGCCATTTCGCCGCTGCTCCCTCCTCCTCCGCCTCCTCCCGCCGCCGCCGCCGCCGCTGCTTCTTCTTCAACCTCCACCGCCGCCGCCGCCGCCGCCGCCGCCCACCCGGGGGAAACCGAGCTCGAGCTCGCGCGCTCCCGCACGCCGGCACGCACGCACTCACGCGCGCGCGCGCTTCCCCCACCCTCGGGGACTACGGCGCGGGAGGGAGAGGAGGCTTGGGTGCGCGGTCGCTCTGCAAGGAGAAACCCTGCCGAGTGCCTAGGGGAAAACAGCTGACTCGAGTGCGGGAAAACGCGAGCACTCGCAGACCAGCTGCAGGGAGGCCCCAGGGAGGAGGGAGGAAGGAGCTGCATGGGGGTGGGGGTGGGGCGGGAGGGTGTTCTGGGCGGGGGAAGGGGGACGCGAAAGGCACCACGGAACTTGTAGTCTTCCTGGCTCCTTCTCCCAGTGCTAGAAGGAACGTGCTTTTGGGAGAAGAGCGAGGGCCAGGTAAGACTACAACTCCCACAGTGCACAAGGACGGGAGCGCACACAATGGAGAGGTTTGGGCCAAGGGTATTCAAGGGCCCGCCCGAAGAGAAAATGGGAAAAACGGGATGGGCTCCTCAGCCTATTTCTCCTGTGTCAGCTATGCTGGGGCTGGGGTGGCTAGAACACCGGAAATGAGAGTCACGAGGAAGGGAGACGTGGCCGGGGAAGGGTTAAGGGAGTTAAATCTGTGGAAGGTGAAAATTGCAGTGGTCTGAGGACAAAAATCAAAGCTAGAGCAGAGGGAGGTGCAGCAAAAGCTGGCGATTTCAGCCCGCCCCACTGTTCTAATGAAGCGCCAACAAATACTCTCCATGTCATCTTTTGGTCTGTTTAATATTTCAGATATCAGAAGAAGGTAGCTAAGTTGCACAGTGGACGGAGTGCTGGGCCTGGAGATAGGAAGATCTGAGTTCAAATGCAGCCTCAGACACTGGCTTTCTGACCGGGCAAGTCACTTAACTTTGGTCCGCTTCAGTTTCCTTAACTGTAAAATGGGGATGATAACAAACAGTACCTGCCTCCCCGAATTGGTGTGAGGATCAAATGACATTATATTCTTAAAGGGTCTGGAACACAGTAGGTATTTAATAAATGCTTTTCTCCCTTCCTCCTTCCCCTCCCCCACCTCCTCAGAAGACACAGCTAGAAGGGCCCTTGGAGATCATTTGGTCAGGCCACCTGATGCTGTCACAATATCAGAGATAAACATGTTCAACATATTTTTTCATTATCTATAGCCTCGAAGAAACTACCTGTCTTTCAACACTGCCACTTGGCTATTTTTCCTCAAGACGACGATAATAATGACACATCCTTCACTGGGAGGTCAATTCAACGATCCAGACAAGTCTGAGAACGGATCCTGTTGCCCATTAATATATGCTTTATATTTTTGAGGTTTGCAAAGCACTTTTTCCACAATAATGGTGAGATACAGTCAAGAAGAATTACAAACGAAGAAGCAGATTAAGTGATTTGGTGACACAGCTAGTAGATGCCAAAGCAGGAGTCAAACCTGTGGTGGTAGAACTATCCCTCCACCGTGTCCAACATTCTCTCTGCCACAGAATTACAGAATCTCCATCTTGGAAGGGACCTTCCTAGTCCAATTAGGTCTGGACAACAATCCCCTTTACAGTATCCAGAGAATGGTCATCCAGTCTTTGCTTAAGTCAGTTAGCCAGGAAACATTTATTAAGCATCTACTGTGGGTTGGAGATGGCAGAGTGGATAGAGTGCTGACTTTGGAGTCAGGATGACCTGAGTTCAAATCCAGTCTGAACCATTTACTAGCTGTGTGACCCTAGGCAAGTCACTTCACCCTGTTTGCCTCAGTGTCCTCATCTGTAAAATGAGCTGGACAAGGAAATGGCAAACTGCTTCAGTATCTTTGCCAAGAAAACCCCAAATGGGGTCACAAAGAGTTGGGCACAACTGAACGATAACAACATCATGGGCTGGAGTTACAAAAAAAAAGGTAAAAGACAGTTGCTGCCCTCCAGGAGCTCGCAGTCTAATGGAGGAGACAACCATGCAAAAAACTATGTACAAACTAACTATATGTAGGATAAATAGGAAATAATTAATAGAGGGAAGGCACTAGAGGTAAGAGAGATAGGGAAAGGCTTCCTAAGCTGGGACTTGAAAGAAGCCACGGAAGCTGGGAGGTAGAGATGAGCAGGGAGAGTATTCCACGTATGAGGGACAGCCAGAGAAAAAGCCTTGAGTTTAGAGATGGTGTCTTGGGTGAGGAACAGCAAGGAGGCCTGTCATAATGAACTGAAGAGTCTGGGGGTTGAAAGCGTGGTGTGAAGTGTAAGAAGACTAGAAAGGTAGGGGGACTAGGTTTGAATGCCAAACAGGCTTTTATATTTGATCCTGGAGGTGACAGGAAGCCACTGGAGTTTCTTGAGTGTGTGTGGTGGGGAGAGCAGGGAGGAGTGACATGGTCATATTTGTGCTATTTAGGAAAAATCACTTTGGCAGCTGAACAGAGTCAACTAGAGTGGTGAGAAACTTGTGGCAGGCAGACCAACCTGCATTATTGCCCTATTGCACCAATCTAGGCAGAAGGTGATAAGGTTCTGTACCAGGGTGGTGGGGAGAAGAGGGAGTATACATGTGAGAGATGATGTAAAGGTGAAATCAACAAGTTTTAGTAACAGCTTGAATATGGGGAAATGAAAAATAATGAAGAGTCAAAGTTGGATCACAACAAGGTTGGAGTTCACAACTCCACCAACAGTGCATTAATGTTCCAATTAACATAATGTTCCAAAGAACATCTTCTCCAGTATTTATCATTTTCCTGTTTGGTCATGTTAGCTAATCTGATAGGTGTGATGTGGTACCTCAGAGTTGTTTTGATTTGCGTTTCTCTAATCAGTAGTGATTTAGAGCATTTTTTCATATGACTATAGATGGTTTTAATTTCTTCCTATGAAAACTGCCTGTTCATATCCTTTGACCATTTATCAATTGGGGCATGACTTGTATTGATTGACTTGGCTCCCTCTTCCACTCCTGACTTTCCTGGCTTCCTTTAAATCCCAACTAAAATCTCATTTTCTCCAGGATACCTTTCCCAACCCCTCTTAAAACTAGTAATACCTTCCTTCTGTTGATTTAATTATTTCCTATTTATCCTGTATATCGTTTGCTTTGTATATATTTGTTTGCATTGTCTCTCTCATGAGATTGTAAGCTCCTTGAGGACAAGGACTGTCCTTTGCCTCTTTTTGTATCTCTAGTGCTTAGCACAGTGCCTGGCACATAGTAGACACTTAATGTCGATTGATTGATAAAGAATAATACACAATGGGAAAAAAGAATAATACACAATAGAACATTATACAAATTATTCTCCAAAATTGAGGAAGAATGCACACTACCAAATTCCTTTCATGAGACAAATATAGTACTCATACCTAAGTTAGGGAAGGACAAAGCATAGAACTTTAGACCAACATCCCTGATGACTATAAATTTAAAAAATGTTTAATTATTCTGTCAAAGAGACTAGCAATTTATCCAATAAATAATTTATTTTGACCAACCTTAATTTATACTAGTTTTGCAAGGATGGTTAGGAAACAATAAACATAATCATATAAATGTTTTTTTTTAAATTCCAAACCCCTTGATAATCTCATGAAAAACCTTTGACAATGTACAGCACTCAATTATGCTAAAAACCCTACAAAATATAGGCTTAGAGAGACCTTTTTTTAATATCATAAAAGTATAGATTTAAAATGAAAAGCATGCTATTCAATGGAGATACACTAGAAACATTCCTAATAAATATAGGAATAAAGCAAGGATGTCCCTTCTCCCCACTATTATTTGATAGAGTTCTGAAAATGCTAGCAATACCAATAAGATGAGAAAGAAATTCAGGGTGTAAAGATAAGCAAAGAAGAGATAAAAACCATCCCTATTTGCTGATAATATGATAGTTTAATTAGAAAATCCCAGGGAATTAGCCAAGATACCTGAGAGAGTTAATTTCAGCAAAGTCATAGGCTATAAAATAAATCCTCGAAAATCAACCATTTCTATATAATAATAACAGAATTCAAGAGGCAACAATAGAAATCCAGTTGTTTTAAACACTTTGTGACTTCATTTGGGGTTTTCTCAGCAAAGATATTGGAGTGGTTTGCCCTTTCCTTCTCCAGCTCATTTTACAGATGAGGCAACTGAGGCAAATGGGGTTAAGTGACTTGTCTAGGGCCACACAGCTAGTAAATGCCTGAGGCCAGATTCAAGCCTAGCACTGTATCTAGTGTGCCACCTAGCCTCCCTTATGATAATGGAAGAGGAAACCCCATTCTAAATATCCCCAAAATGCATAGAGTATCTGGGAGTCAGTCTACCAAAGAATACAGAAGTCTTGTATATAGATTCATTTAAAAAGTGTTCCTTAAAAAAATAAAGAACAACTTAAAAAGCTACAGGAATATTCAGTACATCTGGCTTTGCTTTGCCAATAAAATAAAAATGACAAAACTACCAAAGTTAATTTATACTTTTAATACCATACTAATCAATTTTTTGGAGGGTTATTTTATAGAACTTGATAAAATAATAACAAAATTCATTTGGAAAAACAAAAGATCAAGATATCAAGGGAAATGATAAAAAAAGAGGTAGGTGAAAAGTGGGATAGTACTTCCAGATGTCAAACTATATAATAAAACAGCAGTCATCAAATGCAACTGATAATGGTTAAACAATAGAAAAAGAAATCAGTGAAACAGACTAGATGAGGGAGAATCAGAGATAATTGAACTCAATAATCTAGTGTCTGATAAAATGGAAAAGATATATCACTTAGGAAAGAATTCCCTGTTTGATAAAAAAAAAAGAAAGAAAAAAACCCCACTGCTTTGAAAATTAGAAAGCACTTTAGCAGCAATTAGTTTTAGATCAATACCTTACACCTCATTCCGCAATACATTCTAAATATATATATGTGACCTTCATATTGAAAATCATACTAAAAATACACTAGAAAAGAAGCAGATTATATATATATATCTCACAACTATGTGTAGGAAGTCAAACAAAGGCTAGAGGTAATTGTGCAAAAAATAAAGTTGAGAACTTTGATTACATGAAACTGAAAAGCTTTTGCATGTAAAAAAATTAATACACCCAGGATAAAAAGGGAAACACTCAGTTGGGGAAAAATCTTTGTATCCAATTTCTCTTATTAGGCTCTGGTATCCAAAATATAGAAACAATTAACAGACGTGTGTGTATGTATGTATATACAATCAATCCTCAACTTTTGTGGGAGCAGCATTCCTGGAAAATGATGCA